TTAAAGGGAACTTTTACCTCAAATTTGAACCACTCTGAGTTCCACTGTGGATTGAGGGATTTGGGACAGACATCGGTTTTGAAAGTTGTGTTTCCAAACTTAACCTGGGGAAACAAAAAGACACAAGACACATATTTTAAACGCTTAATCGTGATATAACGACGATGTCTTGCTGTTCAAGCTTCACTCACCTCTACAAAAGCATCAGTAAGATCACTGGCTCTGTCCATCACAGGCAAGTGGCGCCCTGCCACAATTTTGGCCTTTAGTTTTCCAGGCATGATTCAACTGTAAGTTGATCTGTAAACAAACAAAACAACAACAACACAAATAAATGCATTTCAGCTACAGTAATCAACGCTGCTGTCACTAACAACAGTGTAGACTGAAGAGTGGGGCTCTTAATTAACGTGGGCATATGTTGTTGACAGTGTGAAGAGCCCCTTACCCTATTTACATGCTTCAAGCTAATAAACTAGCTTCCCTCAGCCGTACACGAATTTAACGTTTCTATCTGAACTCTTAACTCATCGACTCAGTTCAAAGTTATCTATTAAAATACCGTCTATGAGCACGACAGCAACTATTGGTCAGCTAGCCTAGATTATGTTAGCAAAGCAAGGCTAGCGAGAAAAGCCACTTAGGTTAACTGCATTGCAGTCACAATCTCCTTAGCTCTACCTGATCGGCCATGTTTTTACCATCATACAGCAAAGCCACCACCCATATAACAACAACACTATCTCCCGCTACTCCCTGCGCAAACATTATCATCCTTACCAGTGCTGTAATATCAAAAGACAGCTGTCAAGGCGGCAGCAGGCTCTTTTAACTCGGTCATTACTGTTGACAGCCCACCGCTCGTCTGACCTCCGTGTCTCTCCCATAACACGAGTCGTTAGTTCCCAGTACACCAAACAGGAAAGTGCCGTTCAAGTTAGAAATATGTTCACCAGCCGATATTACGGCTAAAGTAGGTAGATACGCGGCTGTACGGGCGTCGTTAGGACCGAGTTGTCGAGTCATTACACATGTCGCTGGTTAGCGCGTAAGGGTTAGCCATGAATGAGTACTCAGCATTCAGAGCGTTAAAGCGTGTGCCGCCTTCCCGGACACCTCGTAAGCTCGTACTTACGTTTGAAACGCTACACTGATGTTCCTCCGGTTTGAAAAAAAATAATTTTTGGATAACAACTCTCGTTGGTAACATTTGATAAATATGTAGATAGGCTAGAAACAGATGTTGGTCCGTTTCGCCGTATGTTACGTAGGTACATACTCGGATGAAAGCCAGTATTCCGACGCTACCCTAAATGCAGCGTTTGTCTGGGGACATGCGCAATGTTAACAAGGTGACACTAGTTGTAGGAAGCATGTATTCGCCTTTTGATATAGCTAGATGTAAGGCCTTTAAATATGTTGTGTACAGTGGTATTAGTCAGTTATGTATAATAATATTAATATTTAGAGTAAATCTTTCATTTGGTTTGTTTTATGTATTTATTCCCATGATACAGACATGGAAAAGTGTGTGGATTTTATATTTTTACAACAAAAAAACAGGGTGGTGGCTGAGGCCTGTTTGTCACAAAATACTGAGCATTGTGCCAGGTGGATTTGTCTGAATTAAATCACAGAGCCCACAGCTTGTCACCTCAGTATGGGGGAAGCGAGACCATAGGTTGGTATTTTTGGTCTGTACGTATCTGTGAAGACAAATGTCTGTGCCATCCCTGGAACTATGCAGAGGGAGTCATCACTCAAGATTAAGTTACACATGTATGACCATCACGTCTTAATAATGACCTCTTTTCACCTGGGCCATTTTAAAGGTTATATTTTCCCCACATAGCTGTTTAACATAGTTTCTTGTTCATTACAATATGTGAAATATAATAAATAATTGCAAAAGGACAGAAAGATGACAAGGGAGTGTTTGATCCCAAAATAGTGCAAAAGTTGCATGCAGTTGGGGACTACACTGAACCTGCCACTATATTAAAACACAACATGCTTTTGTTCGTGTAGGCCCACAAAACATATCATCACTCTCCCAGAAATGAAGCATGTCAGAGGAGGGTGACACCATGAAGGTCAGAACTTTCCAACCTGGTAACAGCTATGTGCTATAAAGAAAAAAATAAACATTGAACCAATATTTATGTTCTACATCATCCTTTACAAATTTTGATCATGTCACAAAGCATGTACACGTTTTGACCTGGAAGTTATTTAGTCACATGCATGCAAATGTATTCTGTTTTCAGTTCAAACAAAGATATGTGACTTAAACTCGTCTCATCTTCAGAGTGATGACAGATCGGACAGTCATGACGTGTTTTCCTGGTAATCTGATATAAACCTGTAACGATCCTATTAGAAATAAGAGAAATATTAGTTCTGTGGTTACAATGGTACCATTACCTCACATCAAAGAAATGTCCTTCATTTGAATCTTAGCTGTGGTGTTTGTGTGTGTAAGCATAAGTCAGATGAAGTGGGCCATAACCTGTCTTCTCCCAATGCATGCTGGGACTCCAGCCTGTCTGTTACCCTGAAAAACAATATACAAGTATGAAGAATGGGCGAATGTTGCAAGTTGAACCTTTAATGTTGTTGTTCAAATCTGCGCAGTGGTCATATTACACATAATACTGGTAATACATTATTGTGTGTCAGATTCACACAGATTTGAATAATTTTATTTATATTTCTGTTTCATTTATGGATGAGAAAAACTTTGACACTTGGGAAGGTTGTGTAATACTGCTTTTTCATCATTATTCAACACAGCAGATGGCAGCAGCAGGTTAAAGACTTGACTTATCTTATAAAATATATTAACATCTACTGGATGAATTGGTCCAATTGTTTTGTTTCATGATTCCCAGATGATGAATACTTCTGACATTTGTGATCCCCCTGACCTTTACTCTAGGTACCACGAGGTCATCTAGTAAAATCAACAACTACTGGATGAATTTCCATTAAATTTGGTACACACATTCATGTCCTCCTCAGGATGAATTGTCATAACTTTGATGATCCCCTGACTTCTCCTCTTGTGTTATCTCCAGGGCAGGACAGCCTCACCTGTAATTTATGTTTTGTCCTAATTGGCAAATGTTAGCTTTCTAAACTGAGTATACATGTTAACATTATACCTTCTAGATATCAGCATGTTAGCATTTTCATTGTGCACATGTTAACGTGCTGAAGTTAGCATTTAGCTCAAAGCGCCACAGAGCTGAGGTACCTTGGATATATGTGTTTAATAGTTACTGAGGGGGTGCAACACATTGTGAGGATGCCAGACATAGCACCAGAAAGGTTATTAAATATCAACATGACATCTGCTGTGAAGCAACAGTAACAGAAACAACAATCATGTATGTTGGTCTTGTCTTTAGCTGCAGTAGGCTATGCTCAAAAGTGTCTGCATATTAAAAATTAGGGCAACAGGGACTCATACAAGTTCATAAATGTGTTACATAAACAGGTACATTGTGAGGAATATTGTAAAAGTGTTTTCTGTTATTGCTCTCAGGGGACACAGTCCAGGATTTGGATGACCATTAGGCAAAAGGGTTTATTTTAGTTGTTGGACTGGGATCCATTTTGATTGTTAATAGGACCCTATACTTTCCAACAAAGGCAATAATCACACCTGTCAGTGAAGAGTTGTTGAGTTAACAAGCGGAGCTTTCCCGTTAATCCTGGTGACCGACCAATAATTTCTGACTGAGAGGTGGGAGGCGTCACAAGGCCAGCTATTAGAGTAGCTGGGAAAAGAGAAGACATCTCACTAGGTCCTTCTTTCAAGGTACCACAGATGTCATCCTGCTTCCTCTCCTTCCATCTCGATCACTTGAGATCTGTCTGGATCAAAAAACGTCTAACGTGGGAACAAATATTAACATTCAGAGCTACAAGAATTTATTATCTTTTTATTAAAAACCAAAACCAGAAATCAAACCAGATTTTATGAAAGCAGAATATAACTGTGCTGTTACTTTCACTGTGTTAGTGAAGTGGCTTATACCTCAAGTTAAGTCAGATTTTATAGCCCAATGTCACAGAATCACAAATTTGTGACTTTACAGTCTGTGCAACATACAACACCCTCTATCATTAGCCCCTCAATTCAGATAAAGAAAAAGAAAACAATGGAAGAAACTTAAGAAAAGGGACGGAAGAAAAGTGCAACAGAGGAATGATCCCTCTACCAGGACAGACAGACATGCAGTAAATGTTGTGTGTACAGAAAAAGACAAACATAGGAAAATTACAGTATGGATTGTAAACATACATGAAGAATTGATCCAGAAGGATAAGGAAGTGTTGGCTTTGTATTCTGAGTAAAAAAAAGTTAGAGCGAGATCTTAAAATTAATGTTGGGTTCACACGCACACACAGATGCAAAGAACCTGAAGAGTCAGTGGAGTGATTCATCTTCACAATAGAGGATCTTTGGTGCATAAGTCTGACATACATAAGCAAACTGCTGTTAAATACCACTCTGCTTTTACATTGATGCATGTTCTGATACTGGAGGTCTCATTTTCTGTTTATTGCTGGACTTTCTCTTTCAAATCTAACAGCATCCAGTTTTTCTCTCTCAACGGTTCAACTATGTCTGATAAGTAAGTTCTGTCATCACACAGTTTAAAAGCTAATTTTTCTGAAGTGTTTATTGCCCTATGAATCATTTTTGTCTCAGAATAAACAATAACAGTTTCTCTTGTTTAATCTTGTATCTGTTTCCACATGGCGATCACAGTTATGTAAGTTGCAGCCTTCATGTCTTACCACATTATCTAACCTAAATCATTGTGAATACCGTTAGAGTTTGATGTTTAATGTACCTTAAAATCCTTCTCTTTATTGCTTTCTCCTCAGTACACACCACAACCCATGGCCCCCAAGGCAGAGGCAAAGGTAGTAATAGGCTACTTATTTGAACTGACAATGTGTTTATGAATAATCGTAGATACGTGTTTGCATATTTTAATGACTGAATCTTTTCACTCTGCTTAACAGCTTCAGTGGGAGAAAAGAAAGGGAATATCTCATGATACAATAACCAAAGTTTAAAAATATAAATTTAATTGTATATCATCATGTTTATACTGTAATCGTACTTTATCATATGGAAACTAAATGACATTATACATTTCCTTCTTTACAAAGATCAGTACAACAAACAGAAATAAATAATGATACTAATAATCAAACTATGACCTTATTAATAATTTCAGGCTTAAAAGGTGAATAGAGTTGGGGCCCCTGGTAGCTCACCCAGTAGTGCTGGCGCCCCATGTACCAAGGCTGAGTCCTTGCTGCAGTGGCCATGGGTTAGACTCTGACCTGTGCTGCATGTCATCCCCTCTCTCTCAGCTATCACTATCCATTTAAGGCAATAAAAGCCCCCGATACATTTTTTAAAAAGGTGTATAGAGCATGAACTGAACTATTTGCTTGCTTATCGAATTTAATATCACAAGCACAATGTTGCTTTCCTTTTGATCTTACCAGGTTTTAAAGTAGAAAAGGTTAAATACTGTAAATAGTAAACTAAAGGTTTGTTCAGTGTCATATGGGCAGATGTATTTATTTGAACATTTGCAGGTTAAGGAGATGTTTATTTAGACAAGAAAAATTTACTCTTTTCATAGCTAAATACTGAGCAGTATATACTGCTGCTGTCTAGTGAGAGGCAAATAGTGAGTGAGCAGCTATTTTAAAAAGAGGTACCAAACTAGGAACCTATTTTAGCTATTGCAGGTATATTTATGGCTAAAAGGTCATGTGTGATATGTGTCATATTTTGTATTATTTACAGCCCAAATGCAAGATTTCGGCCTCTCGAAAGCTCTCTTTGAAGGTAAACACTTGTGTTAACTTATTTCCTTACAAACACAAAGTGCTGACTATGCACCAAAATGTCACATACTAATCTCTATTATAATTTTGACTCATCCAGATCCTCTTGCTGACTCGTGCAACGGAACAGCTGGAGGCAGAGAAGGCTGCAAGAGAGGAAGAGAAGGTTCGCTACCTGGGAGAGAAGCTTCCACCGTTGCAGCTTACTGGTTTAAACATGGACGAAATGCAGGTGAGAGTCACAAAACACACAGGAGGTAAAGCATACCAGGTTATGGCCCCGGAGACAAAAACTATAAAAGAGAGTCTTGTTCTGGTAACATTTGTGCTGTTTTTTGTAGAAATTGTGTAAACAGATCCATGCAAAGATTGATAAGGTGGATGAGGAGCGGTACGATTATGAGGCCAAAGTCATCAAGAACAACAGAGATGTATGTCGTTCACAATGACACACAATATTTAAATGAAAAACACTGAAATAGTAGTACATATAGAAAAAGGGTTCCTTATTAACAAAAAGTCACCAGCTAAGCTTTTCACGGTCTCTAGATCAATGAATTGAATCTAAAGGTGCAGGACCTTGGAGGGAAGTTCAAGAAGCCAGCTCTGAGGAAGGTGAGAGTGTCAGCAGATGAGATGTTGAAGGCTCTCTTTGGATCCAAAAACAAGGGCTCCATGGACCTGAGGGCAAACCTCAAGTCTGTAAAGAAAGAGGATATCAAACAAGAAAAGGTACGGCTACTCAAGCAGACATACAGGTATCCAAAATCTTTTTTTTTTTAAACCGCGAAAACATAATCATCTGTGTGTGTGTTTTGATACTTCAGGAGCTGACCTTGGAGGTGGGTGACTGGCGTAAGAATGTGGAGGCCATGTCTGGTATGGAGGGCAGGAAGAAGATGTTTGATGCATGATCTTATATAGTAAGAACCAAATTCAAATTGAAATAGTATAACAAAATGCACAATTTAAAAGAATTGAAAAACAAAAGAAGAAAATGACAGTATGCCTTGAAGGCTCATGTTTGATGAAGCTCAGCAGTGAAATATAAAGAGTAGAGTGACTGTAGGTTTGCCTCACAACAGTACTTTGTGCACAAAAATCAGTCTTTGTCAGTCTTTTATTCTGCGTTTAGAAGCTGTTTTGGTAAGAGTGTAATAATCCGCATGACTTTTAAATCACTGTAGTTTTTATTCTGTTTTCAAATAGACCACTTGTAAAATAGCATTGTGAATACACAGTATATTACTGCCTGATAATGCTGTTGTGTAAAAGAATATAATAAATGTTTACATAGTGCCTCTCCTTTTGTTGCACTTACCCATATTCACGATGAACTAAATGTTAGCCTCTACTCTAATACTGCAGCCTAGAACATGTTTAATATTGGTGGGATTTACATTGACTAGAATATTGTACATATTGAATTTTATTTGGAATTGCAACGCACTTGACATTATCCTTTGTCATGAAAAGGATACTGAAGCTGGTTTTGCATCTACAGTGTCTCCGCTAAGCTATGCCATTGACTTACAGTGACAAAACACCAGAGATATTTTCTGTCAGACCAAGGATATACTTAACCCTTCCTCTTGACTGGAATGAATTCCTCTACAACAATAAACAGTAAACACCATCTCACACACACACACTCCGTCCTTGGACTGACATCAAAGAGTGTCAGTAAGACGAAGGCTGAATGATGGAGGGTGACGGGATGGAGTCTGCAGCCTCCAAGGAATTTATGAGTACACATGAGCATCTGCGCAAATACAGTATGTGCTTGTGTGAATGCCAGGGCACAGTCAGACTGTTATTCTTAGTGAGTACAGCAGTTTCATCACAACTGTGAAAGCTTATGGTCCTTACTGCTTCTTGCATTTCTTTTAAGTTGTCCTATTGAGATAAGAGTGCTTGCTAACACATCCATGGTACCTCAGAAACCCTTCTGTATCTGAGCTCTGAAATCATCCGCAGTTAATTCCAGGACTCCTCAAACTGCAGGAACCCATGACAGAATATAATTGCTATACTGTTATTACCTTTGAATGCAATTGGACTATATTTTGGAGAGATTTAGTAATACATATATATCATGCTTAACATTCAGGTAGAAAATTAGCCAAAGACCCACACACAGGGAGATTCATTGTCCTTTTATTGTCCTGATAACATTGGTGGCATTTTCTGCCATTGACTGCTGCGTGTGTGCTCTTCTGACACTGCTCAATGTGATGAATACTAAAGATGTGTTAATAAGCCACATGTCAATTTACATCTCATGTGAATTCTACAGTGGAAAAACTGAATGAAAGGTTATAAAACTGAAGAACTTGGTGCCAGACAAAATGCCAGTTGTCGTTTGCATAGGACTGTGTATAATATTATATATAGTATTATGTTAATAGTATATAATTGTATTAATTCATTATATTAGTATATAGTATTTATGAGTTATGCCCTTAATTTGCATGTTTACAGACACCCATTAAACGACAGGAGTAAAAATGGAGCTGCGTTCTTCAGTTGGCAGTTACCGGGACATTAAGTAAAGCCACTGCAGACCAGCAACTATTATTGTTATTTAATGTATTCTTCTAGGTGGGTAAATATGCAAATGCAATGTTTTTGATTACATCAATAAGAGAGCCAAGTTTTTTTATTATTTTTTTTTATTAAAGTTGCTATATTTAGTTTAGTAGAAAACAAATATTGACACATTTTACTCTGATGATACTGATAAATAGTTATGATGATAAAAATTACATTACGTGTGAATACTCGTTTTTGGCCGAGTACTGGCTCAACCCTACATGCCTACACCTAAATAATCTGCGTTGAGAAATTAGCATTATAAGGCTCAAATATATTTTGTAGCTCCATGATAAGTCAATTTAAAGTCAGAACATGCAAATTAAACCCAACAATGGTGATCCTGAATCTTGTTTCACACACTGTGATAACCTCTTATCATTCATTCTAGTTTTTGTGGTTTTGTTATTTAAAGTCATAATCATACAATTAATAGCCAGCACACCTCAGTTTTATAATAATATCAGTTGGAATTCTTGAAGTTTGTCTAAGTCCACTATTTGCAAAACATATGACTCTTAAAAAGTACATGAAATCAAAATGAAGGGAAAATAAATTTATTCCTCAGATTTGTCAAGGCAGTGTAACATGGAAAAACTGTCCCTGAGAGAAGAGACTCCAGAACCGTACAATAAGGCAGAGGTTAACTCCCAACACAAAGAGAGGTATGAGGTATATCTAAAAACAATATAGTTAGAGATGAAGTAGTAGTAAAAGATGAAAGGGGAAAGCATCTAGCATTCTGGCCAAACCAGAAACCAAATGTGTCAATGCCTCCGTAAAAGAAAAAGGGAAAGAAAAAACATCACACAATTCTTGCCAGTGGTCTGGTTTCAGGCCAGGATTGTGTTTTGCTTTTAATCGAACATGACAAGTGAAACGATTCAACCTGTATCAATGTCAGAAGACAAAGAAAGGCACAACAAGATGTTAAACCGGAATGTTAACAATCATAAAATGCTGCCCTTGTCTTAAATAACAATAGAACAATATTATAAACACAATAAAGATTTTTCACTAACCACATTTCCTGACTAGGTTTTGAGATTCAACAAAACAATTATTCTTTCGAAAAAAACAAACTATTGAATTCAGCAGGTAGATCAATAAAAACAACAAGAGCTGGCAGCATTAAAAGTTACTGACTAAAATGGCCCTTAATGCTGTACAATGTTCAATAGCCGTTATGTTCAAAAACAAACTTTTCAGCACAGGAACTTTTGAACTAGGGTTGCAACTAACGATTATTTTCATTATCAATTATGCTGCAGATTCTTTTCTAGATGAATCAATTAATTGCTTGGTCTATAAAATGTCAGAAAATAGTGAAAAATAGTCCACCCCTGTTTCTCAGAGTCTTTAAATGTCTTGTTTTGTCAGTGCAAAACCCAAAGATATTCCGTATGATCGAAAACTGAGACAGGTGGGAAATCTCACCATTCAAGAGGCTGAAACCTACTAATCGTTGCAGCTCTACTTTCAACTATTACCTTTGGTAAGTGGCAGTGTAGGGAGAAATATGAAAAATTGTAACAATAATGCAATGTTTGTGTTTTTGTGATATTTGATTACTGTTCCATATGTCTGTAATGTGTTGCCTGTTGAACTGACTCCTTCTCTGATAAAACTAAATTCTACAATCATGAAAATCCCTTAAATATTGTAATAATTAATCATTATTATTCCAGTTTAAGGCTTTTCCTAACTCGTCTGTTAAAAACAGCCCTATGTGAACCCAGTACCTGAATAACAGTCGCAACAGAAGGCACAATTAATATGAATGAGAACAAATAGGGAGGGCACTCAACAGCAAACTGAGGTACACTTGTCTGAAATATTTGTAGAAATAACATTAAACTCAAATGAAAAACAAAATCCTACAAACATTGAAATAATAAATATAAAGTTTTTCATCATTTACAACATGACAAATACGGCTGTGTTTACCACAAACACAATCTGTAGTCAAAGACATATATTTCATTTTGTGACAAACAAAACAAAAATTTATTTTTCAGTTAAGACTCATGTGCAAGACGTGTGATCTTTTTGATATACGACTGTGAGTATACATCCTCGGAGTGTGTCATTTAATTTACGTTTTTGTCTTTGGATCATGTCAGTTCCTTTGGATCAGGTCAGTCAGACAAATCATCGTGGTGCACGGCAGTATCTTCATATGCAATATCACACAGTGGCACTCATCAACCAGTACCCTTTTAGTAGTCAAAAGTACATCCAGTGAAATAAAGTCTATCAGTAGTATCTCCTTAGCAACGACCTTCTGCCACTTGTACACTGCTGTTTCACAGACTGAGGACAGTGTCCCGTCCTGTGTCATCATCCTATATAACCCTCTCTTTCGGTCAGCAGGTATTACAAATATGTAGCAGGAATAAAGTGCTCTGGTTGCCATGGTTGTAACCGTGGCGACTGTGGTCATGGGGGAACAAGGTCACCTGTGTCTGGGCGACATCTGCCGGTTCCACATGCCACGTTTGGAGTGATAGTGGTGGAAGAACTTCCTCAAGTAGATCCTCTCCACTTCCAGCCCTGCCTGGAGGATCCTAGGACAGAGAACAAAAGGAGGGTTGTTTACTTACTTTTCATTCTGTCAGCCTTTAAGGCAGTGGTTGTCAAACTTATTAAAGCTGCATGTTGAAGTGTCCTTGGGCAAGATACTGAACCGCAAATTGTTCCCAATGCTGTGCCAAAGTAGTGTGAGTGTGTGTGAATGGGATTAGTTCATTCCTGATGAGCAGTTGGCACCTTGCATTGCAGCCTCTGCTATCAGTGTGACATGTAGAAACTAGACACTATATACAGTAAGTGCAAGTCCAATGAATGTTTTTGTTGTCTATGTTTTAAAATGAAAATGACTCATTTTGTTTTGGCCACTTGAAAGTGGAAACAACACAACAAAATACTGACAAATCACCATCTTTTAGGTTGATATGATGAACTTGTGAGCAAACAGTTGCCTATTTACACATCTAGCTGTTACAGAGCAACATTATAATTCATTTGAAGTGTTTCCGGGCCACTTGATGAATGTTAAGTCCAATATTCACTCTGTTAGCTCTGTTTTTTGGTCTCTACCAACTCCTAACGGATATTTCTGCCTCTATAGCTGCTAAATGTTCCACTATGTTCACTCGCTAACTGTGTCTGTCTTCTGAGCCAATATTATACAGTGGGTTTTTAGAGCTTTTTCACTGAAAAACAGCTGCCTGCTGTGGCAAAAAAAAAGCTATGAGCAGTGAGAGTGAACAAAAACTGTGAAGTTGTGGGCCAGACACCTAAATAATGACCTGAAATTCACTATAAAGCTCAGTAAAGCAGAGGGAAAGCTACAGATTCAGATGATAATTTGCGGAAGTTTAATCACATCAAGCACTTTGTACGTGGAAAACTTGTGTGCCACAAAGCGTGTCACATTACTATGCCAAACAACAACCAGGAGCTGAGTCTAAACTGAGGAACATTTTTAATAAAAATAAATGCAAACAAAAACTAGTACTCAACTTTGTAATAACAAACAAGTCTGTTGATTAAGTGACATGTAGAAACAACGCACCTGTCGAGAAGCTCCCAGTCTTCTCCTCCCCAACGGTCTGTGAATTCCCTGGTGTTCATTCCTCCGACTGTGTCCAGATCTGACTTATAGATCCCCAGCAGACCAAAGCCATTGACCTCCCAGTATCCTGCAACATAGTCACATTTTTATAAAAATTCAATGTCTCACATCCACGCTTCTCCTGAAAAAGTGTTTTCACATTTTAATGGCAATGTTCATTTAAAGACGTTTGTTTTTACTAGTTCTGTTCTTCTCTCTCTTTATGTTGCTCGTTTGCGCCTCACAGACTGAGTGGGTCACGCAGTATACATCTTACCACAGCAACTCTGTTTTTCGCGTTAAGATCTCATATCAATGTGCCACGTGTTACAACCTGGCATTAGTGGATGCCACGATTCACAAAAACAGGTGTAGCCAGTAGATTTACTTACTGATTTACACACTTATTTGTGTGTGTGGCTGCAGGCCAGAAGCTATTAATCCACATGTCAATGCAAGAAAAACAGATTAGAAGGTGGTTGCTGTGTAGCTCCCCTGCCCATCATCTCTGGAGTCACAAAACTGCTTGTTTAAGGCTGAATCTCTGAATCAACAAAGAACCAGTGGAAGAGTGGAAAGAGAATGTACAGCAATCTGTCCCATATGTGCACAAATGCAGGCATGTAAAGGCAAAAAGGACCCCAAAAGGCTTGAAATGGCAGCTAATCTGGGTAATCCGAAGCAACTAAAGACTAAGACTAAATCCCAGCACTGCTGTCCCTCCTTCTTGTGTCTCCGTCTTTGCTGTATATCTCACCGATTTTGCATCTTCTCAGTCGCATTAAAGAACTCAAAAATTGTGATAGTAAGTAACAAGTGCTTGTTTTTCATGTCCTGATGTTCCAAAATCATGTCTCTGTGTAAAACAATTTATTTTAAAACTACTACTACTACATGAACACATCATCAAAACACGTCTGATAACGATGACTCAGTTTAAGTGTAACCACAAAAATGTTAGTATTATATTATGGCTGAAGAAAATACTTACTAATATTAATTACTACATTTATAACCTTCAGATGAGCCATAAAAATTCAAAATAAAGATTTATCTGCGTCTACCTCTGGCCTCTAATGGTGTAGCGCCGCAGTCCAGTCTTAGGACTATTGGAGCAAAGGCCATGTAACCCTCCACACAGTGCTTCCTGATGGTATCAATGATGGAGGGAGGGAAGTAGATGTGGAGGTCACAAAGAAACACAATGCTGTGGTCATCCTGTGGGAGAATGAGGAGGAAAAGACATAACAATTTATTAATAATTACTTAATATTCATACATCCATCATCATCTAAATGCTATTTCTAAGTGAGGATGCGATACTTACACTTATCAGGTCGACACCTGCTTGCAGACCAGCAGATCGCTCAAAGTTTCCACTCAGCTTCACATACTCGTACCTTCCCAAATCCACAGGCACAATTATAGTACATGGATAACATCCTTTGTAATAAGCTTTCACAAAATCAGGTTCACTGTAAAAGTGAAGCACAAACACGTACCTGGGGAGGGAGGATTTCTGTAGAGCCTTCCTCACGTCCATGTCAGTGCTGTTGAAGTCTGTGATGATGAGATTGAAGTTGGTGTCTTTAGTTTCTCTGAAGAGCTGTTCCATGTCAGCAATCAGCTGCTGCACCCACCGAGCCTGGTTCTTCACTGAGAGAGAAGTGCAACAATCAGTTGTTTAGGTAATGCATAAAGAGACAAAAACAGCCATATTCAGTTGTCTTCAGGGGGGCATCCTCTTTAACATTTTACTTTTAAGATCTCGTCCATATTCCTGCACATTTGAGAGACTGCTATAGATCATTCCTAAAAAATTTTTTTTTTCTCAATAGCTCCGCTGAGATCTGACTCTTTACACAGCTTTGAATCTGACATTGAAACACATGACAGATGCCTTTCTTTCTCTGAGTGATGAAATATTGATTCTGTGGTTGGGACATGCCTACTAATGTCAATATTGGACATCCTAGAGGAGATTAAGTGATAAACCTATTGAGGTTAATCCTATGTCATTTTAAAAAACTGCTTTCCAAACTCCTATAGACAAGGTGAAAAGTAATGTGTACACCTGAGTGATGATGAATGTTTTTGTAAATAGAAAACGTAAAAACAGAAGCCGACACACCTAAAGAAGCACAGCAAAGGACAAGGAAAAATAATGAAAGTAATGGCTGTTATGAGCATGGTTAAAAGGTGGGTGTACCCGGTACTATGAAGTGGACAGTGGCAACAGGATTCCAGCGGAAGCCCACTGGGTTACACAGCACCAGCTGAGGTTTCGACCGTTGGAAACCGAATTCCTTGCTGCGATGCCTGCTGTAGCGAATCAGAGTGTAGATGTAGTGCGAAAGGCGCAGCAGCTGGCCGTCCACATCTTTCAGCTCCAGCTCCAGGAGGTAGCGGCTGCCCTGGACCCCATCCACACGCTTCACCACGTTAACCACACGCACCAATGTGAACCGCCTGCAAAGACAGAGAGAATAAAAAGGGTGAAATGTGCGGCAAAACAAATACGTAGTAAATATGCACATGATTATAAGGGCTATTTAATTATACTGGAAGTGCGGTGGATTCCAAATGTGACATGCTCATTTTCAAAAAACTGCAAAACCATAAAAAATAACAGGATTTGTTGCAAGAGAAATTCTTGACATAGCTGTTTTTTCTTTAATAGTTTGTCAAAGTTCAGGACTGATATGCAGGCATTCATTTTTACTTAGGGGTTGGGGCCCCACCAAGGGATCCCAAAATAAATCTGAGTGAGATAATAAAACAGGAGAGGAATGTATAGTATTCTCTCTAATCTTTGCGTCTTTTCTAGTGAAATACTTTTATCTCTTTAGGCCTCTTAATGATCTAAATTCAACAATTCGAGAATGCCAGTTCACAACTCACAGACATACATGTATGTATATATTTTCTCGACTGTGCAATTATTATTTTTGCCTATAAAATGTCAGCAAAAAAGTCAATCTTAACTTACTAGAGTCCACGGTGATGTTTTTATTTGTCTTCTTTTGTACAATAAACAGTCCAAAACCAAAATATATTCAGTTTATTGTCATAGTAAGTATAAAAATCTGTAAAAAAGTCTGTAAAATCTGAAAATATTCTGCTTGAAATCAACTAAGCTAATTATTCAATTATCAAAATAGTTTGTCCATTTATTTTCTGTCAATCAACTAATTGTGGCAACTCAAGAGAAATGCAACCTGTTAGGGGGGGCAGCCTAATTTTAAGGGGTCACAAGCCAAAACAATTAGAGACCAGAGATTAAGGTTCTACATTTTACCAATTCCAGATCTCTTATTATGGAAAAACCACTTTTCTGCCATAAATGTATCTCATTATTCAGGTGACGCACAGGCATACAAATACTTACCCATTGTTCTTTTCGTTGAGTTGGTCCATAAAAGCCTTGACCATGGGCAAAGCGTCACTGGAGTGGAGCAGCAGGTTGCCTGAGACGTTGCAGTGCAGGTCAATCCAATCCGATCGCTGCGCCTGAAGGTCCAGGTGGTTGACCTTGAAGGTTTGGCTCCAGTTGACCTCAGTGTCAAACACCGGGGCAGGGGTAAGGTCCTCATCATCCGTACCTTCCAAGTCTGTCCCTGGTCCCCATAGAGAGTCTCTCTCATCCTCTCCGATGTCTTTCCTGTTCACGGCCCTGTTGTGAACCTTGTCTTCCTTCCCTGCCTGCTCCTCCACTCCTTCTGTATCCGACCACTTTTTGTCCATTTTGCCTTTAGCGATTTTCGCTTTGTGGATGCTACTTTCTTCATCCACTTGTAGAGGCATATTCATCTCGATCTCCTTATCCCTGAGGCGTTTTTTGCTATCTCTGTCCTTCTGATTTAGCCTTACTAAAGAGCGGTCCCTCTTAGGAGTGGTAAGGAGCTTGTTGGCAGCTGGCTTGATCTCAATTTGTCTGGTTACAAACCTCCGTTGTTTGACCACTGCAGGTTTTTCAGGCAGAGGAGCCTCCCTCTCCAAGGGTTGAAGCTTTGAGTCTTTGAGTTTCTGTATTTGGGTATGGTTCATTTTACGGGACCTCTGGATATGATGCTGTTTAGAATTGAGCTGGTCTGACGGGACCACTAGTCGTTCTTTTGCTTTAAGCTGCTCTCTCTCCACTGGTATCGGTGGATTTGTCTTTCCTGGTCGCCCAGCTGTCGTTACTGATTTGAGTTTTTGTCTCTTTGCTGGTCTCAACTTTCCTTTTGGTTTTATCCGTTCTACTTTTTTAACCAGGCCCTCTAGTTTTAAGTCTGTCCTGTTCTGTCGCAGGAGCTGGAGATGTTTTAAGGCTTGTGTTGGCACTGACTGCAGAGGCTCACCTGCTGTCTGTGGCTCTGGATGAGGCTGCGGGACACTGTCTTTCCTTTGCCTGCTCTGCAGCTCATCTACGAGCAGTCTTGTGTTAGAGTTGTTCGTCGGTATGTTGTTAGTTTCTTGCATGGCTAAGGAGAAGAGTTTGCGTCTGCGTCTCTGAGCATAATCATCATAATCATCACCATAGTCTGGAAAAAGGCCGTTATCCATCTGCTCTGGTCTGATTTCCTTTTCTCTTTGGAAGGCTTCATTGTCAAACTCGTCCTCTTCCTCATCTTGCACCGATTTCCTCCTCTGGAAACCAAAATCTAACATTCACCAGAAACAGACAGAAAATGAGAGTGTAACAAACTGATACAATACAAAACCCTTTACATTTCTCTTTGTAAAGAAAAGGAAAGTTCAAAATACCTCTGCCTGCGTTTCCCTTTTCCTGCATATCAGGACGGTCTAGTCTCATGTATCTAGAGAAACCGAACCTGCAGACAAGAGGACAAAACACAAAATCATTAAAAGATTTTAAAGGAATTTGATGTTATGTTACAATAACATAGGACACAAACAAAACTTTCTTCTTCTGCTGTGTAAACGATTCACAGTAGACAAAAAGGATAGAGCACCCTCTGTTGGCAATACTTCATTACCAATTGTAATTCTGCTCTGTCCTACTGTATGTATTTTCATTTAGTATACAATGTGAGGTCTCACATCTTCATGTAGAAGGGGCTCTCGGGGTAGAAGCAGCTGTTCTGTGTCTCCATGTGTGTGAGTCGGGTGTAGTCATTGGGGTAGATGTAGGACATGTGGACCTGGGGAGATGAAATGTAATGACATGTTGTTAAAGCTATGAGACTGATGAGATCTTGAATAATAAGGGTTATACAACCAAACAGGTGAGTGCAGAGCTGAGTCATATCTGTCCGTTACATACAAAGCTACAGCCAGCAACGGGTTAGCTAGTGGTGGAGGTATGCAAGTATAATCAGGGAAATGGACTCAAAAATAAAAGTACTCACTGCAGAAATATGTCCTCTGTGACTGTTATTCTATTTTTAGATTATTCTTACTTATGCATTAATGTAAAATTTTACTGCATTTTACTGTTGCAGTTGGTAGAGGTGGAGCTAAATCAATTTTGTAGGGACCGATTGGGAAATTCTGGGCCAATGCCAATACTGATGTTTAAAATAACAATTTGTCCAGCAGCTGATGTCGATGTTTTTTGTTGTTATTTATTCACCCTCTTGTGCAGGGAAAAAAAGAATTCTACAAAGATAAGCATCTCTGCCTTGTTGCAGCTCAGTCTATTTCTCTTCTGATCTAAGATGCATGAACTGAACAGCAGCTCATTATCCGTGCTGCTGCATGGAGCACATTGCTATGTCCGAGTTGGAAATGACCAACACAACATATAGCCAGTGCAGATGTGTGTTCATGTGACAACAGGTAAATATCGGCCGATATCGATGTTTGGCCAACATATCGGTGCATACCTGCTATTTTGTACAGGACTACAACTAATGATTATTTTACTTACAGATTAATCTGCTCATTATTTTATCAATTAATTGATTAATGGTTATAGTAATAGTGAGAACTGTTGTGAAACCTTGAAACATGAAATGTTTTATATTAAAAATTTCTAACGATTATTAAAAATAGTTGCCAATTAATCTTCTGTCAATCAACTAATCCATTTATCAACTAGTCATTCCAGCTGTAGTTGTATATACAGTTGGGTTGAATTTATTTTTTGTGTGCACGAAGTTTAGTAGTTTATAAAGTAACTAGTAACTAAAGCTGTCAAATAATTGGAATGAACTAAAAAGTACAATATTTCCCTCTGGACTGCAGCGGACAAGAAGAAGAAAGTGGCATGAAAAGAAAAGAACCTCAAATTTCTACTTAAGTAGTGCTTGAATATACTTAGAGACATTCCACCGCTGTGGCTAGTTTAGCTTATCATAAAGACTGGAAACAGCTAGTCTGACACTGCCCAAAGGTACAAAAATCAGTCAAGCTCACTAATTAACACGTTATATCCTGTTTGTTTAAACCGTACAAAAACCGAAGTGTAAAAACTACATGTTGTGGTCTTCCGGGTTATGTGGCCCTGCAGTGACATCCTAGGCCCAAGGGTCTTGTCGTCACTTTGACATTGCCAGGCAACCAGCAAGTCACCAGCTCCAGGAAGTCACTGCAAAGTGACTAATAATGAGACTTGAACAATACAGGTCATAGAATCAACTGAGAGAAATCAGAAGTTGTGCGACTAAAAGTTTTCTCTAATGGGTGCAGCATATGTTGATTCCCATTAAATTGGTCCTCAAAATCCATTAGGTATGCTGGCATAATTAAAGTTCCACAAATAGACAACACTGCTCAATAAAACAGGAGCAAATAAAAGCGAAAGCAAAATAAGAGAGGGCCATTAAAAATGGAAAAGCTTCTTTTGTCACGCTCGGGCAACAAAAACAAAAGACATGTTTTTGTTGCTCAGTGCTATTTAGTTCTTAAACATGGTTCTCTAATCCCTCTAATTCCAATACACTGTATTCAGGACCTTTTATGTGTGAATAATGAGCTCTGAAGAATAATGTGAACTGGAGAAAACAGTATGAATGTAAATAAAATAAACTAACTATATAAACACATACAAACTGCAGTCCCTGGTAGCGGAGCAGAGGGAAGTCTTTGATTGTGTAGCTGGGTTTGTACGAGCAGTCAGGCAGAACACCTTGTAGGAACTTGCTGTTTATCAAAGGCACTGTGAGAACAGAACACGCAGATTTGAGACAAGATTACTTTGTGCATTCAGCAGGAGGAAATTAGTTACACAATACTTACATCTGGGATGATAGGAAATGGGGGAGTGATTGATGACTGAGTACCACAGAAATAGAGCAACATAGACGTCTCTCACCTTGGTAGAGAGTGTCTCGGGGATCTTTACTCAGCATGTCTGCTGCGGCACTGTGCTGTTTTGTGGGGGCATGTTGGTGGCTTGCAGCCGTCTGTGGTATGTGGGCAATATCACTCAGTAACAAGGCAGACTCATCTGTGGGATGAAGCCACAAAGCATAAGAATACTGAAAACTGTATTTATTGTGCAACCACTGACTTCAGGTTTGAGCGCCCTTGCAGAATAACAAAGACAAACAGGATTATAAGACACTGTGTGATGGAGATTTACCCTGAGCTATAGACTGATAAAGACTCACTGAGGCAGCAGGAATGTGAGTTTTTGTGTACTTACTAACATAGAGGGAGATGTGATTCGATTCAATAACCATGAACCTAAAGTCGCGATCCAAGAGTTGCCACTGTGTGAAAACAAAAAGAACTGCATTTCTCTTCCACTTTATTATTCACATTGTACATGAAAATGAGCATGATAGACCTGACGTGAGAGTTGGAACCAAAACTACTTACTGCCACCTCCACATGGTCAGTCCCTCTGTCGTTTTGCTTGTGGATAACTTCAAAAAAGTACCTCTTCTGAGCAGACAGCCTGTCAGTAGAAGTTTATATTCAGTTCTACATTATACATATCAGACACAACCTTATCTTAACTTATCTTAAGAATCTTAACATTTACTTACACTTTAAATAAATATTGATTTGCTTTAATTTGCTTGCTATTCAAACACACAGATCTAAATAGTCTGTGCAAACAAGGCCACTGGATGTGTTTAGTGAATGTTGTAAATGTGTTGATCGGACATTTACATTTCCGTTGTTGGTGGAAACTCACCAAACTGGTTTACATTGTTTATCACACATTTCCTGCCCAAATTCAGTAAACCACACCCACACAGTGTGACAAAGCTTCCCAGCATGTTAGCCATGATGCTATGAAACAGCTTGAAAGTGTAGTAAGCTTTTTTTGTCGTAACAGTAATGTTGAATTCCCAGAAGGGCATATACATATTTACATTGAAATGCTTATGCTTGGGTTATTAGATTAGAGGTGCTTACGTTTGAACATTGGTTTGATGTGATTAAAAGGGTACTACCTCTATAAAAAGGTGAGGCACTTGAAATAGACAAACGCTGTGATATAACTACTTTTAGTCTTCATGGATTAAGCTCTTAAAAATACCCACAATGCAACTCCACAGCTTCTTTCTGATGATATGTTATATAAACAGGACTAGTACTCCCCACTATAAGTAAACTGATCTTCATGTGTATAGTCGGTGGAGTATCCCTTAAGGTTGAGATAATTATATCATATTTGAGGACAGCTGAATGTTCTGAAAACCTTTTTTCTGTCTGTGTTGTTTTATATGATATGATCTTATCTATATATATGATCTTCCTGTGGGTAAGTGGATAGGATTCAGCTGGAAAAAACATGAAATCTGTGCACCAACTAGAAATTCTACAATACTTGATACTTGAATGAGAATCTGACAGTTGTTGGGTTTGCGGTGCCTTAGGGAAGTGCCACTGTAAATTTGATCTATCGAGCATACCCATAATCTTAATGGAGGACAGTACTTAAGATACTTGTGTCAGGCGTAAACTCACCGAACAGGTCTGGAGGTCTGACTGGCATACTTCTCAAACTCGCCCGGGGCAGTCCACTCTGTGCCAGTCTGGAAAAAGGAAACCCACATGCAAACAAATATTACAGAGACAGGAGGAAATGGCCCTATGCCACTTGAAAATGTGACAGACATGCATACCTTGCCAACCAATGCCAATAGCTGCAGTTTGAGGGGAGAGTCGTCTGTGCTGAGCCAAAATTCAGAGTTGTCATCAGAGCTCAAAGCAAACACAAACTCTCCTGAGAGACGACGAGAAAAAAGAAACAAAATCAACAACAGACAGATTTAGGGAGATGTACTCAGTGTGGTAACATAGAGGAACAAGATGAAAAACGACATGTTGTACCGTCAGCGTATGGATGTAGATAACCAAATATCCTGAGCCCATAGTTGGTCCACTGAGGAGAGACGGCCAGCTTCTTCACTGTAGTCCTGGACTGAAAGAGCAAGGGCAGGGAAATGCAGAGAATCAGCCATGATGTTTACTCAAAGGGAGACTACATCTCGAGTCCCAGGACATGAGGATCTAGCACATGGATGTAGAATTCCCCTCTGAGTGAAAACCATGTGTGTGTGTGCCTGCCTACGCTTGTGTCAGAGTGCACGAAGGGATGTCTTTGCCGCATAAAACAGTCAACTACATTTCAGTCAGCTGAACAATTACAACATTATTCTTTACAAACCATGTATGAGAAGATGACAAATGATAACTATAGATATGTGACAGCCAAAATCAGATATCCTATATATCTAAATTCTCATCTTTCTATCTTGAATGTAGGCTTTACTGCTTTCTGAAAAAATAATTTAGCTCAAAATCCTTTGAGCTAAATGCTAATATAATTAATGCTGTTGACACACACAATGTAACATATTGAATTTTATGAAAAACAAATCAAGATAAATTGTGGTTGGTGGTAAAAACAACTTCAAAAAGCTTGGAAAGCCAACAAAAAACCTAAAACATACAAAACATTCCAATGTCAACCTGTGAAGATTAATTGGAAGTAGCTTTCCAAGGTTGCAGTTTGATCTAGCATCACATGTATTGTTTCCTGTTAGTATAAAATGGTAAAGTATGTTGATATTTTTGTATACTAACAGCTAAATCAGTATACTATAATATATGTATGTATGTAGTACATATTGTATAGAAATAGCATCTAGCATGGATTTGGAACTAAAATGCTATTTATGTATAATGTTCAATGGTGGACCTTAGAAGATAAGGGTTTGACTCACATGAGGATACAGCGGGTAGTGCATGTTCTTGTCGAGGTCAGCCGTAGAACTGCCACACCAGTCCTCAAAGACGTGCAGATTGGCCTGTCCCTTATACTGCAGGAAGAAAAGAAGAGAGTGAGGATGATGTTGGGAACACTGGTGTTTCTGCTGCAGTCAGTCAGCAGTGAGACAATTAACCATCTGGTCTGAGTAGCGAATAGAGCTGTAAAAGAAAATTATATTGCGATTATTTTGACAGATACTGTGATTATGATATGATTCTCCTCTTGTTTCCTGTTTCTTGTACCCCCCCCCTTTTTTGGAATTTCCCCATTGTGGGACTAATAAAGAAATATCTTATCTTATCTTATTCATGATTAGTGGGAACAATCATTTTTGCA